GTTTCGGTCCGTCCTGGACCATACTCAAGTCGATTGAGTAATTTAATATACATATTTAACAGTCATACAAACAACTAGTTACATGTATTATACAACAAACACTATCAGAGTGTTATATGTATACTGCCAACTAGCACAACCAGCTAGTTATATATATATATATATACATATATAACTAAATATATATATATATATATATATATATATATATATATATATATATATATATATATATATATATATATATATATATATATGTATCATATATTACCAGACTTTTCCCCCATCACTTCCCCTTCCATACAACACCCCTCCCATCCCCTCTTCCATCGTGTCCGTCCCGTGTCTTTTCCTGCATGTCAATCAATTTTCTCCTTTTTGAATTAGTTTTATATGAGTAAGTCTAAAGACTTATGAAATGAGTGGATCAGTTATTAGATGAACTCTCTATCGTTTAGCTGCTATGCACAAAGTGGTTGAAAAAGTGGAAAAACAAGAATTGTTAGATTTACCTAACATCCACCGGGCTTGGTACGTCGGGTAGGGAGCTCCACTCTTAGACGAGAAGCAGGGAAGAAGGTGGTGGTTACAGCGACACCCACACACACACACACACACACACACACACACACACACACACACACACACACACACACACACACACACACACACACACACACACACACACGCACACACACTCACACACACAAACGCACACTCACACACACACACACACACACATACACACACGCTGTACGTGCCAGACTATGCAAGCAGGATGATGACATGTATTACAGCAGTTTTTACATAGGTATAGGGAAAAGGGTTCAAAACAAGAAATTGGCAGCGTCGTGAAAGGTGGGATGAATGGGTGGAAGGGGGAAAGAGGGGAATGGGGGGTTAATGGGGGGGGGGGTGGAAGAGGGAGAGAGGGGAAGGGGGGGCTTAAATGGAGGAATAGGGGTTAACAAAAATAATTTTAGGTCACGTAGCCATTCGCTAAAGTTGAGAAGCATCAGGAAAGTAACACGAAACGGACACCTCACCTACCACATAAACACAACATTATATCTACACATTCGGTGGCTTACATAAATGAACCTACACATCTAGCTCACACATAAGAATCCATTAAACTGCAGAAACCTTATTTGGCCCCATACGAGGCAGTTCCTATTTATATTCCTCTCCCCCCTCCCATTTCCAAAGTTCCAAAGCTAATTTCTATATAAGTCTAATCTTCACTTAAAGTAATCTATCGATCCTTTATTTCTGTGAAGTTACTAGGTAACTGGCTCCATAGATTAACAACCCTGTTTCTAAGTATTTACCCAGGTCTTTCCTAAATCTTAACTTATCTAATTTATGTTCACTGTTTCGTGTTGTATATTGTGTTGATATATGTAACACATTGTATCTACACATTGGATCTACACATTGGTCCAATACATTGGTATGACACATTGGAACTAAACATTGGACCCACACATGGAACCCTACACATTGATTCTACACATTGGACCTACACATTGAACCCTACACATTGAATCTACACATTGGACCAACACATTGAACCCCACAGTAAACCTACATATCAAGCCTACACATTAGACCAGCACATTGTACCCACACATTGGACCTAGACATTGACCCTAAACATAAGACCTAGACACACTACAGCGAGAGATATATAACTTGACGAATCTTCATTGCAAATGCATGCTGCAGAAGCCATCTTGCACGATGCTTGGGAGGCAGAGGTTAACGGCCTGTAGGAGCTTTAAAGACCCAATTTGCAGCTTCTGAAACCACATTTTCACTAAAAAAACTATTTGCAATTACCAGGATTATTTGCAACGATATTATTTGCAATATGTTATTTTTTGTTTAATCTTAATCGTCATTTTAAGTTATTTACAATTTTCCCATTACATATCAACTTTTGTATTTATTTGCTTTAAAAGCTGGAAATTAAGATCTATAATAAGCAATTATTATATGGAATTGGTTGAGAAAGGTGAAGAGTGTAAAGGAAGCATAGTTATGCATTCGTTATACTATTCCACAGTGCTCGTTGCCACCAAAAATATAACAATTGTGAGATGTTTTCTAAAGAACCTAAAGGAGCGGATTTCTTTTCCGCAAAAGAGCAGCTGTCATTCAAATATTGTCCAAGCAAAGGTAAGCGAATATATAGAACGTATGCTGTTGCAGATGGACCAGCCAATATATATATATATATATATATATATATATATATATATATATATATATATATATATATATATATATATATATATATATATATATATATATATATATATATATATATATATATATATATATATATATATATAACTTCCAGCTGGTATTCTATTTTAATATAAATTTGCAGAGTTAGCAGGAGAAGCAAGCCATTCGTCTGCTGCCCTGGCTGAGGCCTTAAGCATCCCTCTGCTGTTGAAGAAGCAGTGGGATTGTATCATAGGTGTAATTGTCCTCTGAGGACACGGCCCTCCGTCTGCTGGCGTTATGTGATGTAGGAGTCATACAAGAGAAACACCAAAGGTCTTTCAAATAACATGATGTATTTGAAGGTCAACAACAAATTGTATTCTTTACATGCCGTGAACAAATATAATGAAATGGAATGTACAGTGACATAGACATTGTCCTCAGAAGCAAGAAAGACACATGCAGGGAGAACACAGACTGTGCTTGACACTCAAGTAATGGGCAGTGGAGCTCCGAGGTGGCACTCAGCAGTACTGGTGCCAGTACCCGAGGTAGCACCCAGCAGTACCAGCGCCAAGAACTGAGGTGGCACTCATTAGTACTGACCCCCAGCACACAAATGTGCACCCAGTGGTACTGGTGTCAGGACATGAGGTGGCACTCAGCAGTACTGGGTAGTGCCAGTACGGCACCCAGTAATACCGGTGCCAGTACCCCCAAGGTGCCACCAAGCAGTACTGGCGCCAAGGCCCGTTGTGCATGGTACCTACAAGGCTGGCGTTGAAGGGCGTCAGGGCCGTCCGCCTCCACCCTCCACAACGCCAGACGCCCCGCAGCGCCACCCTTCCTCTATCTACAGTGAGAATAGCAGCTCAACGATCCACTGATTAATTTTATGGCACCCTCATGGGGAAAACCTCTTCGTTCCAACTTGTCAGGCCGTAGTGACTCTCATACAATTGGTAAAGAAGAAAAAACTTTGAACAAAACCCCCGCAAAGAGTCTCTCAGACTCTAGCACACACACACACACACACACACACACACACACACACACACACACACACACACACACACACACACACACACACACACACACACACACACACACACACCACACACACACACACTACCACCACGAACTGGACCTTGCGTGGTGGGAGTGTCTTTATTCACATCCACCGCAGTACAGTGTTAGGGACAGGGGGGAGGGATGAAACAGTGTACTCTGAACACTGCACCTCGCCATGCACTATGGCGGATGATAATAGTATGGGGATGAGCAACACCATTGAACACAGGACTAAAAAGAATTCCCATGGTCCATACGTTTTTAAAATCTATCCCCTCATAGAAATTATATATATATATATATATATATATATATATATATATATATATATATATATATATATATATATATATATATATATATATTTATTTAGTCATTATCCCCCCTACATTTTCCATGGGAAGATGCATTGTAACGTATGATGACTTAGATAAGAAGTTCAAATAAGCATGGATGATGTCACAGGAAGAGACCTCCTGACAGCATAGGGACGCAAATAGTAGGGAATTCCTTTTTCATGGGGAGAGAATGATATAGGCAATCAACTTGTGTTGATTGACCAGCTGGCAGTTTTTGAACCTACGCTGAGGTTCCATTTGGTTGGAAAACCAATAAATGTTAGATTATATATATAGTAAATGTGAAATGTTAAAATCTACTTATTTCTCAATCATAATAAATAGTGTTTGTCATCACAAGTAAAGAGGGAGGACTGGAGTAGAGATGGATGGAGAGAGAGAGTGAGAGAGGGAGAGAGAGAGAGAGAGAGAGAGAGAGAGAGAGAGAGAGAGAGAGAGAGAGAGAGAGAGAGAGAGAGAGAGAGAGAGAGAGAGAGAGAGACAGAGAGAGACAGAGAGAGCGCCTGCAAGAGAGAGAGAGAGAGAGAGAGAGAGAGAGAGAGAGAGAGAGAGAGAGAGAGAGAGAGAGAGAGAGAGAGAGAGAGAGAGAGAGAGAGAGAGACAGAGAGAGAGACAGAGAGAGGCAGACAGACAGAGAGAGAGAGAGAGAGAGAGAGAGAGAGAGAGAGAGAGAGAGAGAGAGAGAGAGAGAGAGAGAGAGAGAGAGAGAGACAGACAGACAGACAGACAGACAGACAGACAGACAGACAGACAGACAGACAGACAGACAGACAGACAGAGCGCCTGCAAGAGAGAGAGAGAGAGAGAGAGAGAGAGAGAGAGAGAGAGAGAGAGAGAGAGAGAGAGAGAGAGAGAGAGAGAGAGAGAGAGAGAGAGAGAGAGAGACAGAGAGACAGAGAGAGCGCCTGCAAAAGAGAGAGAGAGAGGGGGGGTGGTGTTGGAAATCATCAAGGAATTCAATGTTTAATAATCAAGTTTTTATATCAAATGTGTGAAACGAAGTGTTCGGCTAAGTATGGACATAAGGCACAATAACTGAGGGAGGAGAGCAAGGTAAGGTGTAGCGAGCCTGCATGCACGCGTACCTTGCAGCCTGGCTCGCCCCGCGCCACACAACCTGGCCGAGGAGGGTTGCTTACTTGGAAGAAACTGGAGACGGGACCAAGAAAATAAAAAAATTGAAAATATCGAAGCGAGAAGTGCCAATATGACGCTCCACTCGCTACAGGGTATAAGATATTTCGGCTATTTATTGTATATATATATATATATATATATATATATATATATATATATATATATATATATATATATATATATATATATATATATATATGTATGTATATGTTATATATGTATGTTAAATTACAGGCCACCGGGAATAGTTTCCAATATCCTCGAGAAAGGCTGCCACTGAACCTGTTTGCAATACAACATACTTAACCTAGTCAACTTGAGGTACTTATCTTAGGATACTTCGTATTTAAAATTTAGTTAAGTGCACTAGACTTGCCCCCTATTCGTTATCACATCATATGTGTGTGGATTTCTGTTGTCATCTTGGAACCACATTTGATTTTCATTAGTATATTGCTTGGTTTACCGGGACAGTTCTAGCATATAACAGGTCTGGGGAGAGAGACACACAAACACACACACACACACCGACCAATACCTCAAGACGAGAAGCACAACACACAACACCACTTACTTCCTGTAGCGTCTCTGTATATCATACTTGCCTCTGTGCGCCTGACTAGTAATAGGTGAGCTTCCTAGGTCCTCTAACAACTTTCGTGAGCGCGTCGGCATGTCAGGAAGCAAGGGCATGGCTGGGGTGAAGTCACTCATTGTGTCACTCAAGCTGTCGGCCGTTAGCGGAGAAAAATCGGAGAGGCGCTCGTAGAGAGCGCCCGTGAACTCGTCACTCTGAAAGGTGGAGGCAAGGCGAGCCATAGATCTGTCCTCCTCCGTCATGGGGTAGTGAGAAGGTGATGGTCCGCGGGACCCGTAGTAGTGGCGAGGCGAGGTTCGTGCTCCGGGGGAGCTGCCGTAGCGGTTGGGCGGCGATCCTCCTGCTTTATATGAGGAGTAACCACTATAATAACCAGAGGAAGGATCACGGGCGTCCCTAAGGATTTCGTCAATAGACCGTAAGACACTGGTGGTGGAGTCACGTGCGGACTGGGGCGGACTCTGATCATAAGGCCCGTATACTCTTGGATCCGAATAGCCCAGCTCGGCACTTTCCCGCAGCCTGGCGAGGCGAAGAAGTTCCTCGTGGAGCCGTGAATTCTCTTCTATTTGCTGCCTTCGCCGGGAGATTTCAGCTTTAATTTTTTGCTTTTTCTCTTCTCTCGATAGAAGATCGTCCTCGTCATCAGAAGCGTAAGGTGAGGGGTGCCAAGAGCGGGGCTTGCGAGACTTCCTGATGGTCTTCTGGCGGGAGGAGCCGAATAAAGCAGAATCGGTGAGCGTTCCGCCAGGCGTCGAACTGCGGCCCCAGAAGTCGGATCCTAACCCGCTTTCAGAACTGCGCCGACCCATGGTCCTGTGGATGAACATCACTCCATTACAAATCGTATGATGAATTTCTGCAGCGAGAATGTGTCACTTGTGTTTTTTTGGGGGGGGCATGAAAAATTTTATTCTTCGAGAAATAATTTAAAACCCCCCAAAATAGCTCAATATTAAATTTTACACTGCACTAATGTGAAATAAATATAGTCAAATTACAAACAAAAATTATATACAAATTATCAGTAAAAGATAACTATCATAGAAAGAGCAATAAAGTTACATGCTATGAAAAGTAATAATTTTTATTTTCTATTGTAATCTATTCGTGTAATAAATTTGTTGTATTTATTAACATAGCTACAAAGAAAATTCCATGTATTATAAAACCAGTTTACTCATCATAGTAAGATACATTTGCCTCTCATAACATAAAATATTGGACAAAATTTACCCTATTTACAATAGGGTAAATATCATCCCCCTATTATTTCATAATTTGTTTAAAGAAATTATTTTTTATATTGAAGCAGCTTGGAGAACAACTAGCTAATTCATTACAAAATATATATATATATATATATATATATATATATATATATATATATATATATATATATATATATATATAATCACGTGTTTATTTTCGTGATATACAAACCACACATATATATATATATATATATATCTATATATATATATATATATATATATATATATATATATATATATGCGGACCATTATAGAAAAGAATAATGACCTTCCTGACCCATATAGGAGAAATTCAATATATACCTACCCAATATAAGAGATACTGATGACCTACCTGGTCAATATAAAAGATACTAACGACATTCTGATCAATATGGGAAACAATGATGACCATCCAGTCCAGATATATGAGATACTGATGACTTATCTTCCAAATCTAGGAGATATTGATGGCTTCCCAGGCCAACATGAGACATTGATGACCTACCAGGCCGATATGGGAGACATTGATGACCTACCTGGGCCAACATGGGAGACATTGATGACCTACCTGGCCAACATGGGAGACATTGATGACCTACTTGGGCCAACATGGGAGACATTGATGACCTACCTGCTCAATATAGGAGACATTGATGACCTACCTGGCCAATATGGGAGACATTTATGACCTACCTGGCCAATAAGGGCGATATTGATGACCTGCCTGGGCCAACATGGGAGACATTGATGACCTACCTGGCCAACATGGGAGACATTGATGACCTACCTGGCCAACATGGGAGACATTGATGACCTACCTGGCCAATATAGGAGATATTGATGACCTACCTGACCAATATGGGAGATATTGATGACCTACCTGGCCAACATGGGCGACATTGATGACCTACCTGCCCAATATAGGAGACATTGATGACCTACCTGCCCAATATAGGAGACATTGATGACCTACCTGCTCAATATTGGAGACATTGATGACCTACCTGCCCAATATAGGAGACATTGATGACCTACCTGCCCAATATAGGAGACATTGATGACCTACCTGCCCAATATAGGAGACATTGATGACCTACCTGGCCAACATGGGAGACATTGATGACCTACCTGCCCAAGATAGGAGACATTGATGACATACCTGCCCAATATAAGAGACATTGATGACCTACCTGCCCAATATGGGAGGCATTGATGACCTACCTGCCCAATATAGGAGACATTGATGACCTACCTGGCCAACATGGGAGACAATGATGACCTACCTGCCCATGCCCAGGAGTCGGGCTGCTAAGAGGTCATCATCATCCATACAGTTGATGGCAGTATCCCGAAGAGCCACTCCGTACAGGGACTGGGGAGGTGGATGCACCCAGATTAACATGGGGTAGAGGGCCAGATTAACATGGGGTAAGGGGCCAGATTAACATGGGATAAGGGGCCAGATTAACATGGGATAGGGGGTCATATTAACATGGGATAAGGGGCCAGATTAACATGGGATAGGGGGTCATATTAACATGGGATAGGGGGCCAGATTAACATGGAATATTGGAAGATATAAAATTGGGACAAGGGGCCTGGTTAACATGTGGCAGTGAGCAATTTAACATGAGCAGGAGGAGGAGGGGAAGAGGAGTAATAAAGAGCAGGGGCAGTTAAGAAGATTAACATGGATTAACACGGGGGTAAAGACTAGCTTAGCATGGGATGAAGGGGCCCAGATTAAGACAAGGAAGCAGGAACATATCAACATAGATAATGAGCCCAAATATGCATGGGAGATGATTCCAAAATTGGCGCCTCATTAAATTCGCGAAGAAAACCCCAATTAACATATGAATGGGAGCTAAATTAACATATGATAACAAGCCAGCTTAACATGTGAACAAGGGGCTAGATTAGCATATGATAACAAGTTAATTTAACCTGTGGGATTTGGTCAGATTATCATTGAACATGGAGGCCAAATTGCCATAAGAAAATAGGGAGTATATTACATGTGAGGAGATATAACGACATATAGAGAGGTATAAGGTCATGTTGATATATGCAGCAAGGGGCTCAAAATTAACCTGAAGTCCGGTATATTATACGGGAACGCCAACCTGAACGCGGCACTATATTAACAAACGATTATAGGACGGAGTGAAGTGCTGCTAGACCAATAGGCTCGCAGAGGACGTGAATCAAAATGAGTTGGAAATGATTGTTGACCAGACCACACACTAGAAGGTGAAGGGACGACGACGTTTCGGTCCGTCCTGGACCATTCTCGAGTCGATTGTCTTGAGAATGAGTTGGAAATCGAGTTGGAAATGAGTTTTACACATCAAAATCGTAAGCAACTTGGGCGAGGCACAAAAGGATTCAGTCGAGAGTCGATGCGTGAGAAGCCAGAAACACAAGTCCGTATTAACACTATATATTGGGCCGGGATTAACAATGTTTAGGGATTCAGATCAATAACGTGAATAAGTTCACATTAACAAGGTTCACACTATCACCACGTTGTGGGGTTAGAGAATACTGAAGAAGATCCATAATAGTTATAATTACATATTTACTACATAATTATAGAGCCTAGGTTGTCATCGATTAATATATCACAATTTATGGAAGGGGACAGAAAATAAAAATAAGAAATGGGGGCGGGGATACAGGACGGGGTCGAAAAATCGTCCCTTTCAGTCCACTTGTGTGGTTTTTGTAGTTCGTTTCACCCAGGCTATTGTGGCTTGTTCTCTGCATACGAGTGCGTGTCCACGTTTTTCAAGGGACTCTGGAACTCCATCTTCGAAGGCTACCGGAATATATTAACATAGGTTAAGGGTTAAATTAACATAGGTTAAGGGTAACATGAGTGAATTAGCACAGGCTATTGAGGCTTAATGGTAAACAAAATAACTGACAGATGGTCAGATTTTCATGGTTTAAATAGGTTAGGTTAGGTTAGGTTAGGTTAGGTTAGGTTAGGTTATATGTACCTTAGTTTTAACTCAAATTAAAAAAAAAATGAACTCATACATAATTAAATGGATAGCTTTATCATTTCATAAGAAAAGAATTAGAAAAAAATATAAATTCAGGAAAACTTGGCTTATTAGGCAAATCGGTCCTTGCATAGTAGGCCGAGTACTGCATTCTGGCTACTAGGTACAACACACACACACACACACACATATGTATATATATATATATATATATATATATATATATATATATATATATATATATATATATATATATATATATATATATATATATATATATGTCGTACCTAGTAGCCAGAACGCACTTCTCAGCCTACTATGCAAGGCCCAATTTGCCTAATAAGCCAAGTTTTCATGAATTAATAGTTTTTCGACTACCTAACCTACCTAACCTAACCTAACTTTTTCGGCTACCTAACCTAACCTATAAAGATAGGTTAGGTTAGGTTAGGTAGGGTTGGTTAGGTTCGGTCATATATCTACGTTAATTTTAACTCCAATAAAAAAAAGTGACCTCATACATAAAGAAATGGGTAACTTTATCATTTCATAAGAAAAAAATTAGAGAAAATATATTATTTCAGAAAAACTTGGCTTATTAGGCAAATCGGGCCTTGCATAGTAGGCTGAGAAGTGCGTTCTGGCTACTAGGTACGACATGTATATATATATATATATATATATATATATATATATATATATATATATATATATATATATATATATATATATATATATATATATATTATACACACACAATTACTTCTGAAGGCGGTGCAAATTGTACTTTTTTGAATTTTTGAAGAAAAAGTTTTGCACAGCCCAGTTGGGGTAGATTATTTGTGTATTTCAGTTGGTATTTATAAGCACAGCTATTTTATTTTTTAAGCGTGGGACGAGTGAATGTTTCGCTAAGCACGAAGGGGTATTTTGTAAGGACCAAAGGATTATTTTGTTAAACACGAGCTGTGTATTCCACAGCACGCTGTGCCTTTCCGTTAAGCACGAAGGTGCATTTTGTTTAGGATAATGGGTATTTTGTTTATCTGATGTAGTATTTTGCTAAGTAAGAAAGTGTATTTTGTTTTGCACAAAGGGGTATTTTCTTAAGAACGAATGATATTTTGTTAATCAGGAAGGGGTATTTTGATAAACAAGAAGGATTTTTATTAAGCATTAAAGGGTATTTTATTAAGAACAAAGGGGTATTTTATTAAGAACAAAGGGGTATTTTATTAAGAACAAAGGGGTATTTTGTTAAGCATGAATGAATATTTTCTTTAATATGAAGAGGTATGCACGAAAGGGGTATTTTGTTAAGCACGAAAGAAGTATTTTTTTAAGCTGAAAGGAAGATTTCGTTAAGCACGAAAGATGTATTTTGATAAGCACGAAAGAGGTGTTTTGTTAAGCACGAAAGAGGTATATTTTGTATAGTAAAGACGGATCTTATTATTTCACTAAGTAATTACGAAATAATGAGAGATATTTAAACATCGCCAATGAATATTTTCAAATTACTTAATAGTAATTGAAAATGATCAAGCGCCTATATATATATATATATATATATATATATATATATAATATATATATATATATATATATATATATATATATATATATATATATATATATATATATATATATATATATATATAAAATACAAAAGTTTACACCACCATGCATATATATATATATATATATATATATATATATATATATATATATGTCGTACCTAGTAGCCAGAACTCACTTTTTGGCCTACTATTCAAGGCCCGATTTGCCTAATAAGCCAAGTTTTCATGAATTAATTGTGTTTTCGACTACCTAACCTACCTAACCTAACCTAACCTAACTTTTTCGGCTACCTAACCAAACCTAACCTATAAAGATAGGTTAGGTTAGGTTAGGTAGGGTTGGTTAGGTTCGGTCATATATCTACGTTAATTTTAACTCCAATTAAAAAAAATTGACCTCATACATAATGAAATGGGTAGCTTTATCATTTCATAAGAAAAAATTAGAAAAAATATATTAATTCAGGAAAACTTGGCTTATTAGGCAAATCGGGCCTTGAATAGTAGGCCAAAAAGTGAGTTCTGGCTACTAGGTACGACATATATATATATATATATATATATATATATATATATATATATATATATATATACCATATATATAGAGGCTCCCCATGCAGGGGACTTCCTTTGGGAAGTCCCAATGTCTGCGACAGGCACACGTCTTGATCCGCAGGAGCTCCGTATTGCAGTCGCTCTCCGCCTTGCTGCCCCTATCCACACTGTTCACAGGTGTATTTGCGGCGAGGCAGATGCTGACGAATATGGATTGCATGGCCTGCACTGTGGACAATCTGGTGCTTGGCACACTAGACATGACGAGGTCTATGACATCATTAAAAGAAGTCTTGGCTCTGCTCAGTGTCCAGCGGAGAGAGAGCCCCGCAACCTACTGAACCGTGACTCTGTTAGCTTTGCCGGCCGACCAGACGGAATCACACTGCGTCCGTGGAAGGGTGGCAGACAGTTGGCATGGGACTATACTTGCGTATCCACCCTGGCAACCACATACATCAACCTCTCTGCCGGCACAGCAGGAGCCGCAGCGACACGCAGAGAAAGACACAAGACAGCCAAGTACAGGCAATTAAATCATCAGTACAATTTCGTTCCAATAGGGTCTGAGACCCTAGGCCCATGGGGAGAGAGTGCAAGAAGGTTTCTTAAGGATCTTGGTTCCAAGCTCATTGACACCACAAGAGACCCTAGGGCGGCAAGTTTTCTCTTTCAGCGCCTCAGTGTCGCGATCCAGAGGGGGAATGCCCGCTGCATCCTCGGTTCCTGCCCGGCGTCGGAGGAGTTCGAGGAAATCTACAGCCTCTAGGAAGCAAACTTTTTCTTGTGTCCTCTTAATGTTCATTTTTTGTATAAAATCAGATATGTAAGTGTATAACCTTGCATAATAAAGTGTACCCCGTAAAAAAAGGGGGGTGGTAGGAGAAGCGAACACTCCAACGTATTCAGAGTTAAATGGCAAGTTTTTCCCTGAATGCTCTGTGTTCCCTTCTCTGAGGCTGTGGGTCCCTATAATTGCACCAGAGGTGGTACCCCCTATATATATATATATATATATATATATATATATATATATATATATATATATATATATATATATATATATATATATATATATATATATATATATATATATATATATATATATATATATATATATATATATTGGTGTATACTGGCAGCAGGTTTTCTTTCAAACATGTTTCATTGAATATGACCGCATATTCTGTATTTATTATTTTCTGGTTTAGGGCTTCTATCCCTCT